GAGAGTTGAGGTTGAGGATGGACATGGATTTGCGCTTTTCTTTTCGGCCCTTTTTTTATCTGTGTATATAAATTTTGGTGTCGATTACGGGCAACTCGCCCTTGTCTTTGCGGCGATATACTCGTCCTGTTGTTCAAGCTGATTTTTTTTTTTTTATCGATGTTTTCTCCTTTTTCGTTTCTTCTCCGGAATCCTCTTTTGCAAATGATGTATGGATGGTTCGCGCACCTTCGCATTTTTGTTTTTTATCGTTTTCCTTCGAACCCTCGTACATGATGAATGAAAATGGGGATTGCATGTTGGCGTGATCAGTAGAGTGTGTTGGCTTGTCGAATCTTACGGGTAGTCTGGAGCGCACCATCCGACGTGCCATATGGGCACCTGCAAGTGCGATCCGAATGGAGCGCGGCTTACATGTTTCCATACCACTCGGACTCGCCAATCACGTCTTGGCTAACGCCCGTAGTCAGCCCCTCACTGAAGTAGGAGTCGACGTCAACCGGGATCGGGTTACCCATCACCCGTAAGTGCGCGTAAGTGCGACTTGTTCGCATCTCTCTTACGCACTTACGAGCGGTGGTCTCCCCGATTAACTTATCCCCCAAGGCATGAGTGATGAAAGAATGACGAGCTCACGGAGTTCCGACGTATCTTGGAATTCCGAGGATTACGAGTCGTATTTCGGATACTGGGAAATCTGGGAAGAAGAGCAACTCCGATTATGGGGAAATTTGAGAAACCCGGTGTTCCCCTGCCTCACGGAAAACGATAGATTCTGCGCTAGGGAATTCCATCTCACCGTACGAAGCGACCCACGGATACCCGACTACCCAAACATGTACAACACACAGTATTTCATAACCCTCGTCTTCGTCCTTATCGCCACTAATTTCCCGCCATACCACCTCCGCCTCCCCTATCATCAGCTTACAGTAGTACCGTGGAATTCCATAGAGCCTTATTGGCCCTCCACCCTGCGCAGAAGCTGCAAACGACGTGCCCATACCCGAACCCCCGGAGCCTCGACACCTAGGCATAGTTCCCACCAACCCACGCCACGTGGTGGACCCCGAAGGCGTGGGCCCCAAGGACCGCCTCGACAGGCTCCCCAGAACTGGCAATCACGTCAGGATCGGACGGCCCCGCACAACCAGCGTGCAAGCCCGCGCCCGTAAATTTTCCCATTTCTCTATTGCATCTCTGCCCCTGAACTCGGCCACAGAAGATCCTTGTTCCTACCTGGGACTTCAACCCCCACTTTCCCAAAAATCCTTGGCACACCCCTCTTCGCACTTCCAAGCCCCCATCCCACTCCGATTAGGAAGTCGCGCCGAGCGTGAGGTTGGTATCGGAGCCCGACATGTGGCTAAGCGATAGGGACTGTAGACTCAATATTGGCTAAGGCGAGGCGATCTGGCTCCACGTAGGCGCCCTTCAGCTGGGGATACACGCCGACGTAGTCCTGTAGCTACACGAAGCCGAACGTCCGCCACAAGGCGGGCAGGCGCCATGGCTGCGGCCGCTGCTGCAGCAGCCGCTGCGGTGGTCAACCCTAACCAACAGCCTAACCCGCCTGCGCCGCCTGCACGAGCCCCTTCGGCTCCACCAGATCTTTATTTATTTGATCCAGCCCACCATCTCGCTGGAGCATGGTTAGCCACGCTCCGAGCTCAGCGGTATACGAACGATGAAGCTCAGATCAACATCCCCGCGCGGATGGGGGGGACGCCCATCATTGGTATAGCACTTATGTATGGGTGGATCTTCCCACATTTGAGTGGGATTTCATGAACCACTTCGATTATGTTCACCCCGAACATACACTCTATATGATCAAGAATCGAGTCCAGAAACCACTCGAATCCATTACCGAGTATCGGAAAAGATTTCATCGAATGTTTGTAAAGTCTGAGCGAGGCGAGCAGGTAGGCCGAGACCTGTTCGTTGACGGACTACTAAACAGAACGATTTAGGGGAAGCTACGCAAAAACTTCTCTCCCATTAACCACACGCTGCAACAAATTATGGACAATGCCGAAGAAATTGAGCGGAAGTTCGCAGCTAGCTTCTTAGAAAATAAGGATTATGGTAGAGAAGGAGACTCGTCATAACTTGTGAAAGCAAGGGTGGAACTGGCCGCACCTTAAAACAAATTCGAAAACATGGGATTAGTAGTCGGACCCGTTACGTATGTAGAACAGGTGACATCGAGGACCACACCATGTGGAGCGACTGTAAACAGGCAGATCCCGGTAATGGCGTCCCCAACCGTAACTCAGCCACCTCCATCGCCACCCACCATCGAGTCACCCGCAAGAGCGAATGAGTCTACTGCTATCTTGGAGCTAACTAAAACATTGGTTAGTCTAATCCAAGAAAGCAAGAAGGAACAGCGAGAGCACAACGCCCGATAAGAAGCTATGATGCGGAATATGCGACCCATTGCGGTGCAAGCACCAATGCAGGGAGGCATGGCTGCTGCACAAGTTGCAGCGGGTCCAGCCGTGACAGCGGCAAATGCCTGTTTTACATGTCATCAACCAGGACACTTCGCCCAAGATTGCCCGCATCGGGCCATGCATTCTCGAGTCAAGGTCGCGCCTGCAACTGCAGCTCCCATAGCTAACGGCCCAGGACGTGTAGGAGCCGTGATGGATGATCAGGGGGGAAGTAATGGAATGATGATTTCTAGTGAGGAAGCAGCCGAGCTTATCCCGCTGGAGCAGTATGTATCACTAGGATACCCGGGGCTGGGAATGATTGGGACGATTCGACCGGAACTCGAGTCCAGAGATGTCGCCGAATGGCGGCCTTCGCCTAACGAAATGGAGACGGGAGGCCCTACCTTTGTTAAAGGGGAAATCGATCCTCGAGGTTACCTGAGCACTAGATCATCGAATCCCTCTCCCAATTGGCCACCTACTCTCCATTTCGGAACAGTCGAACGAACGTATGATGCAGCATTGCAAAGCGAACCGGAAGCGATTCGCCCTTGCACGCGCAAAAGATCAGAAGGCGAAGGCGTCGGCTTCGGAGGAAAAGGCGGACGTCGCCCCTAACCCCATCCGAGTCGGATTGATACAGAAAGATGACCACTTTCTTCGGATGAAACCGATTCCGTGGAAGTCAGCCGAATGTGATATTGAAGTCTAGGGAGTGTCGTATAGTGCGATCATAGATTCGGAAGCGGCTGTCCTAGCGATATCACTCCGAGTAGTCGAGAGAGCGGGTAGGAAGAATGATTTGATTATGCTAACCGAGAAGGACCAGCTCGTATCGGCTGACGAGGAGAAGATCAAGACAGTAGGACGAATGACGAATGTTGCGTTCCGATTGGGAAAAGTGCATGTTTTAGGAGATGTTGTGGTGCTGGATGTGAATACGTATGACGTTYTTTTCGGSCTTCCTGCATTGGTGGCGCKGCGTGCTAATGTASACTTCGAACGCCGATCCGTCATTCTCCGGAATAYCGGGGGRAAGCCGTATGTAATACCCATGAGACTAACTCTTCGAACGTCGGTTAAGGTAGTACCCCGAATTTCTCCGAAAACAATGGGAGCGCYCCGCATGGTCTCCAGGAGTGCACCTGTGGACGGAGGCCACTCATCGAACGATGCGGGGAGCGACGACGATGACGATCCAGTCGTTACACGGTTAGTACGGCAGCGGATTCACTACCCGCCGCCTCGCACTATTGTGCGTACCATGCATCTAACTGCACGGAATGCTCGTATGATGATCATGGGAGAACCCCTCGTACAGATTTCGAGGCTGGTTGATTCCTTGGAACCCCATCGAACCCTGTACGAAGGCGTATCTCCTCTTCTCCTTCGGTATAGTGACAAACGTTCCTTTTGTGATCTCACTGGCTTACCTCGATCCCTGCTTCAGCCCGCAAAAGAGGTTCAGTTGTTGCGTTTGGGAGTCGAAGCAGGTTCTTTGGAACCCCCTCAGCGCATCGAGGMAAGATCCGATGAACTCGGGATCAAAATCTCGCCCAAAAGCGTGCCCTGGCGAAACATCTACGACGGGATAACCCCCGAAGGTCATACAGCGATCAGGGAGGAGGAAGCACAGATGGTGGCCACTCTGTTTTCTTGGAGATCGGATCACTCTTTTATATTTGCACCGCCTGACAGTACTCGGCGTATACACACGAAGCAGGTTAACGTTCGGGTTTTGGATCAAATGTATGAATTGCATGTGCCCCAGTATGTACCTGATGAGATCCATTGGCTGATCGCTGATATTTTAATAGAGTATCAAGGGGCGATAAGCATGTCCGACGCCGATATTGGGTTATCTGTGGTCGTTCAGCATGAGATTCAGACCGGGAATCATTCCGCGATCCACTGCAAGCCGTACCGATACTCGTTGATAGAGCGCAAGATGGCCTTGCAGCGAAACAGGGAATTTGAGGCAAACGGATGGATTGAGCCTGCCACCGGTCCCTGGTCGTTCCCAGTTGTATTGGTTCCTAAAAAGAACGGGACAGTCCGCATATGCATCGATTATCGAAAGCTAAATGATATCACGATTAAAGATGTGTATCCCCTTCCTCGGATTGATGATCTGCTTGATGCGATCGGGTGTGCTAACTACTTGAGCAAGTTCGACATTCGGCATGGGTTTCATCATATCTTGGTGAAGGAAGAAGATCGGCCCAAGACCGCCTTTGTTTTGTTTGAAGGCACGTGGCAGTGGGTTCGGTGCCCGATGGGAATCTGAAATGCGCCTGCCACGTTTCAGAGGGCGATGAACGTGACTTTTCAGAATTTCGTCAATAAGACACGGCTGACTAAGGGGATGATTAACTTCTGCGTCATTGTGTACATGGAAGATGTTCTGGTGTACTCGGACACGTTTCACGGACACGCGCAGCACGTCGAATGGACGTTGGGTGCGTTGAGAGACGCAGGTTTCAAGATTGCGCTGGAAAAGAGCGAGTTTTTCCTTCCGGAAATCTCGTTCTTGGGGTATGTGGTGACACGAGGAGGCCTGCGGCCGGACTCTCGAAAAGTCGCGGCGGTCAAAGAAGCCCCGGTTCCGACCTCACTGACGCACGTTCGAGCCTTCTTGGGCCTGGCCTCGTATTACCAGCGGTTCATCAAGGGGTTCGCGGCTATAGCAAGGCCTCTGACAAACCTGCTGCGAAAAGAACAGCCCCTTCATGGGGATGACGAGTGCGACCAGGCCTCCGGGGCCCTGAAGGATGCTCTCGTCACGACCCCGATTTTGATTCGACCGGACCCCTCTCGGCAGTTTATTCTCATCACCGACTGGCAGCCGGAGGCTATCTCGGTCATTCTGGCACAAAAGGGAAACGATGGGAGGGAGCATGTCATCGAGTACTCTTCCCGGATGGTGCCTGACAAGCGACGAAACGATTCCGCGCCACAAGGAGAATGCTATGCGGTAGTGTGGGGTATCCAACACTTCCATCCGTATTTGTACGGTCAAAAGTTTCTGCTCATCACCGACCATGAACCTCTGTTGGCTCTGAAAAAGCTAACCAACTACACGGGCATGATCGGACGATGGGCAGTGCGGTTGCAAGAGTATGAATTT